TTGGTGATTGGATCAAAGTCACCCAGTCGGCTTTCATGCCTAAGAGACGGGACTAGAACTCGCCGTCTCCTGGCAATTGGCCCAAAGTCACCCAGTCGGCTTTCATGCCTAAGTGACAGGACTAGAACTCGCCGTCTCCTGGCAATTGGATCAGAGTCACCCAGTCGGCTTTCATGCCTAAGGCATGAAATGAAGATCTTGAGTTTGATCCAGCCAATCTATTCTATCCCTTCTTCCTTGGTCGGTGCAGAATCCATTTTGCCTGCCCACCGCTGTCTCAGCCGGTTTCGCTTGCTGCGCACCATCAGGCTGAACAGCCTGGTGTCTTCCATCTCACCTGTAGAAAGAAAGTCCAGTTCTGAACCTTGGTGTCGCCAACGAAAAATGTTGGGCGCCCTAACAAAAAGAATTGGCTTTGCATGAAAACCTCAAAAAGTTTTCTCTGTTCCGAAGAGTTGAAGATGGTCTTTTTAGCTAAAAGTCTCCAAATCTTAACACCTGGATGGATTCTCCTGCTTAAATTCTCTATAGCCTCTCTGGATCCAACATCAGTTTTTCTTTGCTCTTTTACGGATTCCATCAGAACCGGACCGATGTTGGTTGTAGTGCCTTAGGAAGGCCTAAGGTTTTTTTTTTTTAATAGCAATGGAAACGGACTCAGATGATCAAAAGAGAAAAACCTAGCGTTTGGTGACATGTCAAACAAGGGGCAGTGGTCTCACCCAGATATGACAACTTGAATTCCTTTGAATAGATCAGTTATGAATGGGCCAAGCCCACAATTTCTTTGCCTGGCCAAGATATGTTGGTTTGTCCTTAAGATTCCAAGGTCAGCAATTGTAGGTGTAGAATTTAAAAACAGCAGCCAGGTTACTTTGCCCTGGTTTATCCAACTGCTATAAATATTATGCAAGAATATAGATGGAACAGCTAGTAGTCTAATCTTAGACTTAAGGGGGTACCACCTTCATTTTGAATTCAGAGATATCCAAAAGGTTTGTCGGATTGCTATGTTTAATGGGACTGAATGGAGAAAAGGAGAAATATTTATTTATGTTTCATATTTTTTAAGCCCTCACCTAACTTTGAGATTGTGTTTATTGCGTTTAATGCTGGTCAAGTAAGAATCAAATTGTGTTTTTGTCCTGTTTCTATACACAGACAGGATTCTACAAGGTTTGCGAAGTTGCCACTTTCCAGTTTAAAACTGGGAAGTGTGCTATCATCTATTGCTTGTGCCAAAGAGCAAAAAAAAATTAACCAGAGCATTGAGACTCTGTTGGTGCCATGATTCCAGATTTATTGCTATTACAACTCCCCTTCTCTTAATTTGGACTTTTTCAGAAGGGTTGGACTACAACAGGCCATGAATCCTAGCCAGCCCAGCTGTTATGAGAATAGGGAAGAGGGAGCCACCTTAGTTACAATCCAAGTCCCAGTGTTGACTTTCTTAACTACACGACAGAGTTTCAAAGAGAAATTGCGTTTTTAAGAATGGGCACGACATTCTGAATTGTGTACTTTTGTATCTTTATTACTTTACAAATAATGCAAGACAGCAAATATAGCCTCCTCTGCTTTCTGTTTTCCCCACAATGACAACCCTGTGAGGTGAGTTGGGCTGAGAAAGAGGAACTTGGCCCCAAATCCCCCAGCCAGCTTTGGTGCCTAAGGAGGGACTAGAACTCCCCGTCTCCTGGTGTTTGGCCCAAAGTCGCCCAGCTGACTTTCATGGCTAAGGTAGGATTAGAACACAGGGTCTTCCACTTTACAACCTGGTGCCTTAACCATAAGACCACACTGGCTCTCTTCATTGGGGGGGGTGTGTGTGTGATTTTTGTCCTTGATTGGAGGACAAATAAAGGACGTTCCCAGGGACACCCTGGAGATCCAAAAAAGCACTTCCAATGGAAATACATTTTTTTTTAAGAAAATAGAATTATTATGAATATGTTTGTCCAGCACAGTCAGCCCGATGTTTAAACTGGGGTAGCATTTTTATCCCCAAGGACCTGGGATGGGCAGAGATGTTGATTATTACAGGCAGACCTCGGCTTAATGACCACAACGGAGCCCCAAATGCATGTTGCCGAGTGAAACATCTTTTCAGCCCCCTTTGCCCCCATTTTATGACCTTCCTTGCCACAGTTGTTAAGGGAATCACTGCAGTTCTGTAAGTGAGTAAACTCAGTCGTCAGGCGAATCTGGCTTGTCCATTGACTTGGCGTGTCAGAAGGTCGCAAAAGGGGATCATGCACACACACACACACACACACACGAGTGTGTGTGCAAGTGTCATAAATCTGAACCAGTGGCCAATTATCCGAATTTGGATCAGGTGACTATGGGGACGCTGCAGCGGTCGTAAGTGTGTGAAAAGCGGTGCTAAGTCCGCTTTGAACTTGGTTGCTAAAACGGACTGTTTGTCAGTCGAGGAATGCCCGTATTTTTTTTAATCTCCCTGCCAAATCACTTGAGACTTTCAAGAAGAGATTGGACTCCCATCTGTCAGAAATGGTTGTAGGCATTCCTGCTTGGGCAGGGGGTTGGACTAGATGACCTAGGAGGTCCCTTCCAACTCTATTATTCTATGTTCAGTGGAGCTTCATCTCTGAAAGCTTTCCAGAAGAGACTGGACTTGGTCAGAAATGGTATGTAAAGTCTCCTACTTGGGTGGGGGGGTTGGACTAGATGACCTAGAAGATCCCTTCCAACTCTGATTATCTGTTATCTGTTAAATTGTTCAGGCTTTGGGGGTGGGGTTAGAAATATGGGGTGGGCTTTTCGGACTGATTTGCCCGCGGTTGAGATTTCCCCTCCTTCCGTCCTTCGAATGGCAGGAAACTTTACTGTCGCTTCTCAACCTTCGAAGGAGGAAGTGAAACTTGAAAATAGAATTATTAACTACCTGGATCCTGAGGCTGATGCAAGGGCAGGATATATGGTCAGCGGGGACTTTACATGTCCTTCCAACCAGGCAAATGACAGTTTCTTTGCCAAATGACCGTTTAATGTAGAGCCGGGGTCTCCAACCTTGGCAACTTGAAGGCTTGTGGACTTCAACTCCCAGAATTCCCTTTCCTGGTTTTTTTGGGGGGGGCTTCTGGGAACGGAAGTCCACAAGTCTTCAAGTTGCCAAGGTTGGAGACCCCTGATGTAGAGCCTCTGTTGTAAAGTTACTATACGGCAACTTTTAAGATAAGTGAACTTCAACTCCCAGAAATCCCCCCCCCCCCCAAAAACCCAAGAAAGGGAATTCTGGGAGTCGAAGTTCCACACCTCTCAAAGTGGAGGACTTTAACCTTGAGGAACTTGGCTGTGGATTACAGGTAGGCCTCGACTTACACCAGTTCGTTTAGTGACCAAAGTTACCACGGCCCTGGAAAAAAAACAAACCACCCCTCGACTACCATTTTTCACACCGAAGGCCGTTGCCGCCTCCCCGGGGTTGTGTGATCCGAATTCAAGACCCTTGGCAACCAGTTCATCTTGATGACACTGGCAGTGTCTCAAGGTCACACGACATCACACCCCCACCCCTTTTGCGACAAGCCAGGTGGATGGGGAATCCGGATCCATTTAACAACCAGGTGATTGACATAACTGGTGATTCGCTTAACAACCATGGCAAGAAAGGTCGTAAAACGGGGGCAAAATTCACCCAAGGAACGTCTCGCTCAAAGCACAGAAATTTTGGGCTCAGTTGAGAAACGCTGCTTCGGATGATAAAGTTATTTTTATTTCCTCCCCGGGAAAACAAAAATCCCCTGTTGCAATCTTGATTCCGCTGTGGATTTTTGCTGAGGGACTTGAGGAAGTCCAGGCTTTTTGCTGTTTTACTTGCGTGTTTAAAAAAATAGCCTGCTTGCTCATGGAAAAATAACCTGCTTGCTCACACTAAGCCAGGGTTCGTTCAATAAACCCAGGGCTAGCTGGATTTCCTACAAACAGAATGCCGAAAACACCTGAAGGTTTCTCACCGTGTGGAAAATTGGTAATAATAATTCTGCCCAAATTTTTGACTCTGGAGTTTAGGGGACGTTTTGGCAAATTGCACTCAGGCCAAAACAGTTGGATTTATGATTCTGACAAAAGCAACTCCCCCCCCCCTTATTTCCCCCCCCCCCCCCGATAATTAAGTTGCAAAATCAAAATTTAGCGGAAAAGCTAGGAGTCAGTTGTCATGTTTAAAGAAACCAGGAAGTAATTTCGGTGGCTGTTAGCGATTCAGGATGTGTGTTTTTTTGTGTGTGTTTCTTGACTCCATTGTGCGCTCGGTTGCTTCCCCGCCAACCCCTGGAGAAGGCTTGGAGGTTGAAGTCCAAAATCGGAATCCACCCACAGCAGCTAAAAATAGGTCCAGCTGCCTGAGAATAACGGAGTTGGAAGGGACCTTAGAGGTCTTCTAGTCCGACCCCCTGCTCAAGCAGGAGACCGCTACACCAGGGGTTCCCAACCTTTTCTATACCCCGCACCCCTAGAAAGCTGCTGATACGTTCTCACACCCCTTACAAAAGTAAATAATTATACGCCTATAATCCTGCACGCACGCTATAATTTTGAAACTTCTAAACTCAAATTTTCTCAACCCCCCCTGGAATATAGTCTTGCACCCCCAGCTGGGAAGCCCCTGTCCTTTGCCCATTTCAGACAAATACCTATCCACTCTCTTCTTACAACCTTCCAGTGTTGGAGTATTGACACCTTCTGGAGGCAAGGAGTTCCACTGGTCAATTGTTCTCTCTGTCAGGAAATTCCTCCTTAGTTCTAGGTTGCTTCTCTCCTTGATTAGTTTCCATCCGTTGCTTCTTGTCCTGCCTTCTGGGGCTTGGGAGAATAAGTTGACCCTGCCCTCTTCTTTGGGGCAGCCCCTCACATATCAGGACCCTGCTATCAGGTCACCCCGCTAATCGTTTCTTTCATTCAACTAGACATACCCATTCCCGGCAAGCGTTCTTGATTATAAGTTTTTTAGCCCTTAATCATCTTCGTTGCTCTTCTCTGCACTCTTCCCTCCTGGCTGAGCAATGGGAATTCTGCTCCCAGTTGTGGTCCTAAGTCAAGGACAGCTGTCCTGCTCCCA